TTGGAATGATAGCAGCTGGGAGCTGCCGAGGGCATCCAACCCACCCGCCCTGAGATAAGTGCGATAAGTTTTCGCGCCCCCCCGGGCCCTGGGAGGTTCGCCGAGTGAGATGCAGTCGACCTCGCCGGCGCGCGCGCTTTCAAACCCTGGCGGCGCCGAGTCCCGCCGCGGTAAGCTGTTGCGAATATGACTGGTCCACACGTTCGTTTGTCTTGTCTGTCAATGCGTCTTGGCCCCAGGTGCGCGCGCTTTTGCGTGGTATCTGTTCACTGTAGAATGCGTCGTTTCATCAGCGAGAGCCCACATTCCGCATCCGTTTAAGCTCAAGAGCTCATGCTCCCTACCTCCTTTCCCAGCAAGTAGTCGCGCCCCTCGGGCCTCGGGAGGTTCGCTGAAATTCAGTCGACCTCGCGAGAAGCTCTTCGGCGCGCGCGCTCTTATTCCCCGGCGGGCCCGAGCGCTGCCGCAGAGAGATGTTGAGCAGATGACTGGTCCGCATCATCGTCTGTCTTGTCTGTCAGTTCGTATTGGCCACGGGTTTTTGCGTTTTTTGATGTTTTTTTGCCCGGTTTCAACGCCGCGTCTCTGGCCACCCGGCTGCGGCGCCGCCTAGCTACCCAGCGCGAGGCGACCGCCGATGCGACGTGCGCTCCAGGCGCTCGAAAAGAAGCCCGCGCACCCATTGGCCAGCGTCGCGGCCCGCGCGGGCGCGGCGCTGCCGCCGCGCAGGTCGGCCACAGCGCGCGTCGACCGAGGGGCGTCGCAGCCCGCTGCTACCGCGGGCAAGGTCACGGAGACGTTCCGCGACGCAGGCGCCCCCCCAAATGGGCCGCCGGCAAGCCACAATTCGACGTTCAGTTTCCCGATTATCATCGACAGTATTGGTTCTCCGCTGTGAGCTCCCTACGACCGTCGGATGTACAATGCGATCCCACATTGATTGCGCCGTGGCTTTTCTCACGCTGGTCTGCCACTGACCTGCCCCGCTAGAGGCCAGCGCGCCCCGCGCGCGCAGAGTTGGTCGGCCCTCGAGGCCGAGCACCTGCCTCTACCCACCCAGACACACACACACACACACACACACACACACACACGCGCGCGCTACACAAAAACGCACATGTCAAGACGCCAGGGCCATTCCGCACCGCAAGATAGAGCACCAGCAAGACTTGCAGGACCCTCGCATTCTCCAGTCTGTCTGGCCGTCAGCGCGCGCTGTCAACCGCGTAGCCCCGCGCAGTCGGGCAGCGCGTCTGCCCGCGACGCCCACCCCATCTTGCGCTGCCAGCTAGCAGTATCCCCCTGGCAACCGCGAGGCCATGGCCCCGCGCCCTCCAGCGCATTCCGCCGCGCGCGCGCTAGCGAGCAGCGCGCTCAAGCTTGCGCGCAAGGCGCCGCTGGCTCGCGAGGCGCCACCTGCGCGCCAGGCGCCGATCGCCTTCAAACCAGAGCGCGGCAACCGCCAGCGCGCGGGCGCGGAACGACGACATCGCTTGCAAGTGCACGTCGCCCATCCTGGAGTTCCTGCAAGGTGCTGCAGCTAACGCCACCGTGGTCACACACCACTTGGGGCAGTTGGGTCACATTACGGCGGGAAAGTGATGTGGATTGGCGCGGTATACTCGCACTGCCCATGCACAGTATACGCCATTGCTGTCGCCATCGCCGCCGGTTTCTGATGCATCTTCTTGGTTGTAGCTCAGCCTGTCTCGAGCGCCATCTTGCGAGTGCGCGTTCGGCTTCTGGACGACGCGCGCGCCAGATGTTCAGCCAGCGCGATGACGAGCCGCGCTCGTGCAGACAGGATGCTGGCGCGTCTGACGCGCGCAGCGTGGCTCCCCCTGCAACGCCGCGCGCACGCGCGTGGGCCCCGCGCGGCCCAGGCGCGAGTTCATGCGCCTGCAAACCACAGCCCGGGCCACGACTCACCGCGCAACCACCGCTCCACGTGGGCCGAGTAGACATCGCAGCACGGCCCTGAACGCAAGTGCGACGACCCATGCATCCACGCGCGCGCACGCGCGCACGTCGCCATTGACCCCCGCTTGGGCGCCTGCCACGAAAACGAGCGAATCACCAGTTACATGCTCCTGCTCGGGCGCACCGCGATCGCCAAGCCAGGGCCCGCTCGCAGTTCAGGCGATCTCCAGCGAGCAGCGCCGCAGTCGTGGCCGAAGAGGCCCCCGCGCGCGCCAAGGAGTTGCATCCGGCAGCCGCCTCGCCGAGGAAGCCTCGGGGCGCTGGAAACGCCCCGACAAGCAGCCCGAGCCCCAGTCATGAGGATCTGTGCATGCAGCCACGCATCTTGCTGCGTCGCCTCGCCGCAGACGCTGGCGCGTCGGCGACCGACCGCCGCCCAACTGCCGCCCCCTCGCGAATCGGCGGCAACCTGCTCGCGCCCCACGGCCCAGACGACCCCGACGGGCATGGGCAGGTCCACGTCCGCCTCGACTGGACGGACATCGGCCCCCGCGCCGTCGAGAAAGACATCTCGTCCGCCGCGCCGCTCCAAGCAGAGATGGGCTGGGCGCGCGGCCGGGTCGCCGCGGCCATCGGCTGCGCTGCCGCGGCGGGCAAGTTCAATATCACGATCTTCGCTGCTTCTGCCGACCTTCAGGCGCATCCACCCAGTCCATTTCCGCTTCGACAGCGCGCGCGCCAGTTCGAGCTTCGCTCGGCGCCGCGCAGCATCGACCCTGACGCCGTTCAGGCGGAGAAAAATAACACCGTCATCGGCGAGACGACGTGCGCCACCGCCCTGGCGCTGGACCAGAATCCTCAGTTTTGTTTTGCACATGTACCACATGGGCGCCCAGAGGCGCTGCGATGCAGGCCTGCCTCAGCAACGGCATGTCCCATTTGGGCCCCGCGCGACGCAGGGATCAGAAAAGCCCAGCATCGCGAGCGGGGACTTCTCGGATGTCACCGCCACTGCGGAGGAGGCGGGCGAGGGCCTGGCAGGCTTGGACAAGGCCCAACTGAGCCCGAAGTGGGCCTTCGAGATGCTATGGCAGGGCCCACCAGCGCCACCGCGCCGACGCGAGCGTCGACTGGAGAGCATCAAGAGCAAGCGACGCAGATGGCAGCGGGCTGCGACGCGTTCGTGGCCAGCCAGGACGTCGCGAAGGCCACGAAGATCTTGGAGGGCATCGCCTCCGCGGCCGCGACGCAGAGCCACGGCGCCTCGCGGCCCTCAAGTCGCCGCTCGCAGGCGCGAGCGTCCGCGAGCTCGCAGGAGCTAGAGGCCACCTCCGCGGCGCAGCACTTCGCCAGGAGGTGCCCCCCGATGGACTTCGCGCAGTTCGCGTCGTCGGTGCAGGCGGGGGCGCATCTCGACACTGCTGCCGACGAGGGCCCGTTCGTGAAGAAGGGGCCTCGTCGCGGAGCTGGATTCGGAGATCTCGAAGTCCGCCGGGGATGGGTCCGGCGAGCCAGCGCAGCTCAAATGCGCGGCAGTGCCCAGCTTTGGAGGTCATCGCTTCCTCACTCGTCGCTTCCGCATCAGCCCCTGGAGTGGGCACTCACTCGCCGATCGAGGTCCGGCGGCGCGGCCGCCTATCGGGGGCGTCGAGAAGGGGCGCGGCGCTGCGATGCCCAACGCGCGCCTGCGCATTGTTTGCTTTCAATGCCCTCGCACGGACAGGTGCACGCGAGCGCGTCGACGCGCGCGGCAGTTCTTGTCCCAGGGCACCGCCGGCGACGCCCTGCCCACCCATAGTCGCCCAACATGTGACATCAGCCAGCAGGCCCATCGCCGTCAGCCCGACAACGTCACGCAGGACGCGGCCGCTGCGGCTGCGCGCGACCCCACCTCTTCGGCAAGGACAGCTGGCCGAAGCAGCTCCGCTCCCCCGCGCGACTGCCAGCAGCGCGGGCCCCGCCGCGCCCGCGACGGATCGACGGGAAATATTCGCGCCTCCTCCTGGCTCGGCGTCTTCTTCTGTCTTCCTGGTCGTTGTGTGTTGTGTGAGTGCACGCGCGTCTTGACAGTCACCGCCACGTGCCGATGGATTTAAACATGCTTGAATTCGATGTGCCAGCTGCAGGGCGCACGGCGGCGGCAACGACGAGCACCGCGAGGGTGACCGTGAATGGTGAGCGCTAGCAACTAGAGGCACGTCGCCGCAAACAGTTGGACGAGCTGCATCGGCGCACACACGAAACAAGGCGCGCGGGGGCTTCCCAGTTATACATCCGCGCGAGCAGTGCAACGGCCAGCCACGCCCGCTGGCACCTAGTGCCAAACGAGTGCCGAAGGCTAGCGGCTACGCCAGCAGCTTGCAGGACGCAGAGCGAAGGAGCGTACTTGGCCTGCAGGCAAGACCAGAGACGCGACGTGATCGCACGTCGGCGGACACGATTTGTGCCAGGCCCCCACGACCAGCGCCCCGCTCCCAGCTGTTACGCAATATCGTCTGGTCGCATTGGGTAAGAATTTTGTCCCCAGGCTTTCCCTGCTGTGGGGTGTCGTTACGGTCCACGGCCCTGGCCATGGTCAGCTCAGCGAATTTCGCGTACGAGCAGACCACAAACGAGCCGACAGGGCTTCCGAGGGTTCACGCCATTCTGTCCGGGCTGAGGCGCCTAAGCCAGGGCTGGGTTGTGCCGAGCGTCCACTGCTGAGGTCTCGCGGCGAACGCGTTGGCACCTCATTGCAGGTGGTCTTCTGCAGTCGACTTGATGCGGAGGGACCCCCCCCCCCATTGCCTGGCAGCCCCGATTCGAATAGGAGCACGCGTGCGCGCCCGTCGCCGTTACGGCTTACAGTGCGTACGCAGTATACCAGACGTTGAAGGGAAAAGACATTTGCTTTGTTAGTTCATTCTCACGTGACCATTGCCGCCACGCCCCTTCTTGTTCTCACCCATGCCACCCGCAATTCCAATGGCTGGTCCCTCTCCCTTCCTGTCCCCCCTCCTCGTCCTCGCCCCCGCATCCTTCCCCCCCCCCCATTATCCCCCCCCTCCTCCGCCCTCGGGCGGCCAGACCCCCCATGGCAGGGGACGCCGGCGGGCGGGGACAAGCCGGACGCGAGCGGGTTCTCGCCGTACCCTGGGACGGTCGACCCTGCGGCGGCGCCGGTGGGGTTCCGCGGCGAGGTTTCTGCTGCTCCGGCAGACGAGCACAGGCAGAGGAGGAGGAGGAGGAGGAGGAGGAGGAGGAGGAGGAGGAAGGGGAGGAGGAGGACGAAGAGGAGGAGGAGAAGGAGGAGGATGAGGAGGAGGACGACGACGAAAAAGAGGGGACAGAAGGAGGAGGAGGAAGAGGAGGAGGAGGAGGAGGGCGAGGAGGAGGAAAAGGGAGGAGCAGAAGCAGGAGCAGGAACATAAGGAAGAGGGAGGGCCAGGCGGCCAGGGAGGGTGGTAGAAGAGAGAGGAGAACGGGAAGGGCCCCGTCCTCCCCCCCAGTCCTCTCGCCCTCCTCCTCCTCCTCCTCCTCCTCTCCTCCTCCTCCTCCTCCGCGTCGTAGATGTCTTCCTTACCCTCGTCGTCACCATCCTCCTCCTCCTCCTCCTCCTCCTCCTCCTCCTCCTCCTCCTCTCCTCCTCATACTACTACTACTTCTCCTGCTCCTCCTCCTGCTCCTGCTCCTCCTCCTCCTCCTCCTTCTCCTCCTTTTTTTCGTTAGACCGACATTAGGTGCTAGCCCTTCTCCTCCTCCGCCTCCTCCTCCTCCTCCTCCTCCTCTTCCTCGTGGTCCTCCTCTTCCTCCTCCTCTTCCTCCTCCTCCTCCTCCTCCTTCTTTGTCGTCGTTCATATCGCCTCATCCTTCCTGCATTGTTGAGCATCTCGCGTTTCTCTCTTTCATTACCAAGCATCCTCTCCCGCATCGTTCTTCCTCACCGCTTCCCTCCTCCTTCCTTCTCTTCCTTTCCCTCCCTCATCTTCCCTTTCCTCCCCTCCCCCACTGGACCCTCCCCCATCCATCATGCTCCCCTCGCCCCCAACGTTTCCGCTTGCGCGCTTTTCACCACAAGGTCAAAGGTTCTGCATTGTCCGCACGGAATGACGTGGTGCTCGTTGGCATGCCGGTTCCTTTTCGCCTCTTCCCCCCCACCCCCCCAGAAAAAATGAAACAGCATCAAGAATCGGTGATCCCCGCCTTCATCGTCTGTCCTTCTTCTTCCTCATTCCTTCCTCGCCCTCCTCCTGCCGCCACCATATTCGCATCCCCCTCCCCGTTCATTCCTGCCCCGCACCCGCCAGGAACATCAACATACTCGTCTTCGGGCTCGAGGGCATGAAGGCGCGGGGAATGGCCCTTCCTTCGTGTGTGGGCGGGGGGGGGCGGCGGCGCGGGCGCGAGCCACGGGCGAAGGACTTCTGGCAGCAGGCAGGGCCGGATAGTGAGATGGCAGGGGGAAGGGGGACGAGGGGAGGAGGATGAGAGAGGCGGAGGAGGAAGTAGGAGGGAGGAGGAAGAGGAGGGAGGAAGAGGAGGAAGAGGAAGAGGATGGAAGAGGAGGGGGGAGGAGGAGACGGACCTCGCCCGTGCCGACCTGCCCGTTCCTCAGGTCTTCCCCCCATGCTGCCCAGGCCATCCCGTAGCTTTGCGGGCGTGCAGGGGAGCAGCATAGGGGGCTCGGAGAGAGCACACGCATGGGAAGTTGGAGCTTCACGATTGCAGGCGCTTCATCGAGGGCCTCCCCCACCAAAGCTGGTTGTGCTGGCGATCCCGCGTGGGAGGCCCCCGGCAACGTCGCTGCTACAGGCAGCGTTGAGATTGCCTGATCTTGCGCGTGTGTGAGTTTACCGATGTGGGAGTGGTGGGTGTCTGAATTCTGATTAATCGCCGGGCAATGACGAACGCGCACTGCGTCCGTAGCCTGAGCGGGGGTGCTGATCAGCAGGCGATGTGTTACAGGCAGCCGGGAGTTTAGGGGGCCCTGGAAACGACAGGGCCGTTATGTTGCCGGTTCCGTTTTGCCGTTTTTGTTGCCGGTTTGGGCGCCGTTGTTTTGCCGGTTCCGTCGCCGTGTGTTTGCCGGTTCCGGTTCCCGTTCAAATGTTGGAGCCGTTGTTTGTCGTTTTTGGTCGCCGTTTTTTTACCGCTTGCATTTTCAAGGGCACTTTTTCGAACACATTTTCAATGCTGTTTCTGGGGCCCACCAAGGGCGGGAGACAGAAGACAGCGGCCGCGGAAGAGGAAGGACAATGGCAGCGCGTTCAGACCATGAAGGGCTTCGTGAGCAGTGCGCCGGGTGTCTGGAACCACAGGTTGGCCCGGTGCGCATTCTTTTGAAACAGCTTTCATTCAGGTGGCCACAGAGAAATCCATAGCAGCTGCAGCAGCACCAGCGACAGAAGTAGCAGCTGTCACGAGCGACGAACACGCCCGACCCAGGCATGCCTCCACACCACTGGCGGCATCGTGCCTGAGTTCGTGACGCGGACCGCCCGTGGGGGGGAGAGGGCGAAGAAGAGCGAGGAAGAGGAGAAGAATGTGACGACGGAGAGTGACGGGAAGCGGGGGGGGGAGGAGGGGGATGAGGAGGAGGAGGTGGAGGAGGACGAAGAAGAAGAAGAAGAAAAAGAAGAAGACGAAGCACGAACGAGAGGGAGGAGAAGCAGAGGGAGGGGAGGCAGGTGCACCTTGACGTGGACGAGGAGAGGATGAGGGGGAGAAGGGACTAGGATTAGGAGGAGGAGGAGGAGGAGGACGACGACGACGATGTTGACGACGACGGCCACGAACACGGCGGCGGCGATGACAACGACGGCGGCGGTACTGGCGGTGGTGACGACGGGGGTCGGCATCGAGCAGGCGTGGGGCGAAGGACGGGCAACAAGATAGCGGGTATCCGCGCCCTGCCCGCGCGGCGCGTCGCGGCGCCCCGCCTGAGCGCGCTCCACGCGCGTGGCGACAGCAGCATCTCTACCAGCGGGGAGGGGGGGGGAGGGAGAAGGCGAGGAGGGAAGGAGCAGGAGGCTGGAGGAGCAGAAGGAGGCGAGGAGGAAAAGGAGCAGAGAGGGGGGGGGGGAAGGAGGAGGAGGAGGAGGAGGAGGAGGAGGAGGAGCAAAAGAAGAGGAAGGCTGTTTGCGGAAGCTCGATTCCCCGCGCTCGCCCCTGGCGCCGCGCCCAAGTCGCGCGGTCGCCCTCGGGAGGGCCATTCTCAGCGCGCCGCCGCCGCGCCATCGGCGGCTGGCGGCGTTCGCTTCACCTTGAACACGTTCATCCACGAGAGGGTGAACAACATCGCCTGCATCTTCATCCGCGTGCGGGAGATCACTGGCGTCCGCAACTCGTTCCACCAGGGGGCGACCAACAGGGTGTACGTCGTCAAGATTGGTTATGAGACTTACCCATTCTTCGTGGGGACATGCCGGTAACAATGCCGAGACCAAATGCGACTTGGACGACACGGGTTCGAACACATTGTAGCATGCCAGAAGACGGGATGCCGCGTCCAACGTTGGGAAAACAAACACCTCAAATCATGATCATCGCTACGGTCGCCCTGCTGCGGAACAAGCAGCCTCGCGACCTCGCGACAACTCCGACGCCAAGCACGACAGCTCGGATGATCACGACACCTGGTGCGGCACGAAGCACGAGCATCACCACCTGCACGACATCAAGTGCGCCACCAAGATCGGCGGCAAATGCGGCGGCAATCGCCGCGGCAAGAAGCCGCTCGTGGCCGCCCTGGGCCAGGCCAGATCACACGATCGAGGCGGCCGCGGAGCCCCTGCCGCACAGGACCCCAAGACGCGCCTCGGCGAGCAGGTCCCCCGCGAAAGAGCTGACACTACCAGGACGACCCGGGCATCCCTTCGCTTCTGCCCCGGCTTTGGGTTAGGTTGGGCAAGGGCATAGGGGGCTGACGGCGAAGCGGGGGGAACCGCGTGCGCCCGGCGCTTCCCCGAAGAGAGCGCGCGCCGACCGCGGCCCCCCCCCGCGGATTGTGCGCTTTGCGAGCGCGGCGAGAGCGCGTGTTATTCTGAATTGACGGAGCCAGCGGTGAGTCGGGCCCGTCCCTCTACAGGAAGTACGTTCAAAATGAGTGACAACATAGTCTGGGGACTGTTTTGAAGTATTGTTTGACCATTCGGGAGTGTGTTTTTGACTATGTTTTATTCTTCGTGGAAAATCCCCCTGTAGGGGGACAGACCCGACTTAAAGCCAGGGTGGACGACGACGGCCACTTGGCCAGCTACAGTGTCCTCCTGGAGCGGGCACGTCCACCGGGTCTACGACGGCCACCAGGACCACGACTGCTGCCAGCACCGCAGGCAGAGTCTCGACGGCCAGTTGCGAGGGCCACCAGCAGAGCTTCAACGGCAAGAAGCAGAGCCCCCCAAAATCCGCCAGCTGAGCTTCGAGGGCCACTGCAGTGCTACGGCGGCAAGAGGCGAAGCTTGGAGGACCACCAGCTCGGCTGCAAGAGCCACCAGCTGGGCTTCGAGAGCCACCGACAGAGCTACGAAGCCCACCGGCTGAGCGACCAGGACCATGCGCAGAGCTACGAGGGCCGCAAGCAGGTCTACGAGGAGCACCAGCCGAGCTACGAGGACGACAAGCAGAGCTTCGAGATCCACCAGCTGAGCTACGAGGCCGACCAGCCGAATTACGAGAGCCACCGGCACCAGCCTCCCTGCCACCTGGCTGGAAAAGCTACCTCGGCCAACAGGGACGACGCTACTACCATCGCGCGGCCCTGGCCCGCCGATACGCCCCTTCGAAGCTACCTCAAGGAGCCGCCGCTCCACGGAGGCATAGTGGAGGAACGCGCCGACGAGAGCGACGAGGAGGGTGACAACGGGCACGACGAGTACGAGGAGAGCGACGAGCATAGCGAGGCCCGGGCAGAGCTACGAGGGCCAACAGACCTTTCAGCTGAGAGCCGGCAGCAGAGCCACGCGGGCCAGCTGCTGAGCTACGAGGGCCACAAGCTGAACTACACGGGCAAAAGGCAGACCTTCCAGGGCAACCAGATGATCGTCGCAAGCATGCCGCCGAGCTACGAGCACCACGAGCTGAGCTACCCGGAGAGTTTCGAGGGCCACCCGCTGAGCCACCAAGGCGACCAGCAGAACAACGAGGGCAGCCTGCTGCGCTGCGAGGGCCACCAGCAGAGGCAGGAGGGCACCCAGCAGAGCTGCCGGAACCACCGGCGGAGCTCCGAGAGCCACGAAGAAAGCTACGAGGGTCAGCTGCCGAGCTGAGCTAAGAGGACCACGAGTTCGGCCACACGGAGAGCGAGCGGAGCGTCGAGGGCCACCAGCAAAGCTTCAAGGGCCACCAGCTGAGCATCAGTGCCGCCCGCTGGCATCATCAGGGAACTGTCAGAGCTACGAGAACCACCAGCGGCGCCACGAGGGTCACGAACTGAGCTACTTGAGCCACCAGCTGAGCTACGAAGGCACCGCTCAGCTAGGTGGGCGACCTCGACCACCAGGTGAGCCACCGGGGCTAGCCGCTGGGCCACGACGACCACCTGCAGATCTACCAGGAACACCAGCTGAACTACGAGGAGCTAGCAACAGAGCTCCGATGGCCACCTGGGCTACGAGGGCAAAGAGCTGAGGTACGACGGCCACAAAAAGAGATTCCACCACGCGATCCACGCGAGATCCCAGCCACCTGCTGGGACACATAGAACAGTGAACTCCAGCTGCGGATCCGTGCTGTGAAGGCCGTCTACCAGGAGGGCCCCATCTCCTACGGCGAGTACAAGAGCGCATCGCCATCGCGCACTGCCGTATGAGAAGCTGGCTCGCCGCCCTGCAGGAATTACCACCTGATCTTCGTGTGGCGCCTCACGATGATGGCGCGACCCGCCATCACAATAGGCGCAACTGTTCTGCTTGAGGCAAGCAGACTACGAACCAGCCCGCTGTGCCATAGCGCCTACAGCGTTCACTGGTATGTGGAGTACCCAGCATACTGTCATACTACTTCCACAGCGCTGCGGACAAGGTACGCCGTGCACACCGATTCTGGCAAGCTTCTGCGCCACCGCAGGCAACAACAACATGTTTTGAGCGGCTTGGCCGCTCACCCGTACGGTGGGGGCGTTCGTTAAAGAGCGTGCTAAGGAGGCTTCAGACCTTGAAGGGTTCATTATCTGATGAGGGCGGCGATGATACCCATAGCCGATCCACGATTGGCTCCCCACTGGCTTCCAGACCCTGGACTCCTTATCCACAGCTTCCTTATCCGATGCCCCCGCCGTACTCCATCTCTCCCAAATTTCGCTGCCATCGCATTGTCGGTGCGTGGTTTCCTCCTCCTTTCGGGCGGACGACAGGGGGAATTGGGAAAGGCGGGGTTACGAAATCTGCAGCGTGCAGCTGGTTTCGGCCCCACCGAGGGGCCCATTCCTCGATACATAGCCGCATCCGGAGCCGGGAGGCGCCGGGAAAATCAGTTACGCGAGCTGTTTCTCAAATCCCCCTTTTGATATCCCCTCCTTTCGCCCGGCTCGATCCTTCTAACCTCGCTTCTGGAAAAAGAGGGGTCCCCCGGTTGCGCCTGGGGGGGCGCCCGCAAAACGCGCCGGGCCCGCCTCCGTCACGCGGCCTCTGGGCGCGCGCGCATGCGGCTGAGATCGCCGCGCGGCGTTGCGTGCGAGAGAAGAGGACGACGATGAGGAGGAGGAGGAGGAGGAGGAGGAGGAGGAGGAGGAGGAGGAGGAGGGGGAGCAGGAGGAGAGGAGGAAGAGGACGACGATGAGGAGGAGGAGGAGGAAGAGGAGGAGGAGGAGGAAGGAGGAGGAGGAGGAGGACGACGACGACGATGAGCAGGAGGAGGAGGAGGAGGAGGAGGAGGAGGAGGAGGAGGAGGAGGAGGAGGAGGAGGAGAGGACGAGGAGTCGGAGGAGGAGGAGGAGGCGGAGGAGAAGGAGGAGGAGGAGGGACAGGGACAGGGACAGGGAGATCGACAGGGAGCGGGGCAGGAAGAGGACGGGGGGGAGGGGAGAGGGAAGAGGAGGAGGAGGAGGAGGAGGAGGAGGAGGAGGAGGAGGAGGTGGCGCTGGCATCGGAGAAGCAGGAGGGGGCGACACACGGCGACCCCGCACCCCCCCCCCCGCCCTCCCCCCCTCCCCTGGGCGACTCGTCTCGTGCCGCCCGCGCCTCGACAATCCCGCCCTCCCCCCCCCCGCCCTCCCTCGGGGGCGGCCAAGAGGGGGGTGACGGCTAGCGGGGGTGGATCTCATGGCGGGGGCCATGATATCTGATATCTCACCAGGTTTCATGGCCCCTCTTCTTGTCTCAACGCGTTCCCTGGCCCACCGCTGGGCCGCGCACACGCCGCTGGCCATGATTTGCGCCCCCCCTCTTGGCCGACCCCCGCCCTCCCCTCCTCGCCGCGCGTTCCCGGACGAAAAAGGCAGGAGGGAAAAAAAAAACACAGACACAATGAATCGTCGCCCCCCAGGAAAATATGGGAAAATATGGGAAGTGGGGGAGAAGACAGAAACCCAGAAAATATACGAAAATATGGGGAATCCTTCTGTTTGTGTGTATTTATTTGTGTGTCCTGGGGCCCCTTCAGGAAGAAAATGTTTGAGGCACTGGAAAGAGCTTTCCGACTCCGCAGCTTGCCAGTCGGCCTGTCGGGAATCGGCCAGTCGGCCAGTCGGCCAGGCAGAGTCGGCCAGAGACGGGAGGGGGAGTCGGATAGTGAATCCCGGTGCCCCAAATATTTTCCTCTGTCCCGGGCGGATTCCTCTAAGACCCCTCTTCCCGGTGCGAGGGGGTAGCGAGCCGGACGGTGTTGGGACGAGGGCGGATCCGTTCCAGAGCGTTCCGCCACTTTTTTTTCTGAGAAGGCCGCGGCGCCCAAGACACTCCCCAGAGCCGCTGGATCTTAGAGATAAACGACGTATCCTCGCCCGAATGTACCCTTGTCCTGGCCGCGTCTTGGCGAGGACTCGACGGCACGCGCTCTGGACGCCACGAGCGCTTGAGCTCCGCCTGCCCTTCATCGGGCCTTCGGGGGCCTGGCAGCCTCCGCGGCTTGACGAGACGCGGGGCGTCCCCGGAGTGATGTCGACCGGGCGTTTGCCGCCACGGCGCGTCAGACAGAGTACGGCCAGGGCGCCGAAACAAGTCGGCCACGCGCAGAGGGGGGACGGTGGAGGGGGAGGTTTCTCAGAAGCACCCCTGCTTCTTGGAAGGCGCGGGCCTCGTCTGTAGATGTAGTGCCGGCGCCTTCTGAGAAGCAGCCTCAACAGGGCTTCCCCCCTCCCCCTACCCCCTTGTGCGCGCCGCCAGAGAGAGATGCTGACGGGTGTTTGTCCCCACGGCGCCTCAGACAGGGTACAGCCAAGACGCTGAAGTAAGGACCGCTTTGGGCTCAGGAGGGGCCCCTTCGTTGCAATCCTTTGGGTTTTTTGCAATCCTTGCAATCCTGGGTTTTTTTGCAAGCCTTCGTTGCAATCCTGGTTTGTTTTTGCAATCTTTTGCAATCCTTCGTTCCCGGGCCGTTTCTCAGAGTTCTGTGTCGTGGAGCGCGTCTGCGGCCTGGGCCCGCCGTGGCCTGAGAAGCCCCGTCGCTCATGGCTGCATGCCTGACGCTTTATGGCAGCACGAGGGCTGCATGCCTGACGCCGCCATTCCCACGGTTGCCGAGTTCCGGGTCGCCCTCGTCCCGCACCCCTTGCCCACAAGGCCTCCAGGAGGTCGGGGTCTGGGCAGGAGCCGACTGCAACGGTCTGCCCGCGCCCACACCCTGGCACTGCTCGGACGAGTGCAGTTCTGTTCTCGGCGAGGACCCTCGAGGGGCATCCAGGATCATCGTGCGGAAAGTGCACGCACGGCACGAAACCGAACAATGCACGTGTGATGGACGTCCGAGCGATGGCAAGACACTACGGGCGGGCTCTCGAAGAGCAGAGTCAAAAACGGAGAGGAATTGCCGTCGGAATATACCCACACATCTATCTATATATACATATATATACATACATACATATATATATATATATATATATATACTCACACCGAGAATAGCTACGCAGCGCAATCACAATCTGAAGCCTGCTGAGCCTGCGCCAGTTTCCCAGCAGGCTCCAACACGAACTTGCCCGTGCGGCTACAGGCCGCGCTTAGGAGAAGACTGCTGCGCATCGCCACCGCTAACGTATGCTGTTGCGGGCGCCAAGAAGCAGCAGCACGCACCACATGGCCTCGCCCCATCCCGCCTGCCGTGCTTCAAACTGTGATCGTACTCCTTGATGTTGAGCGGGAGGAGGATCCGGCCCTGGCTGGTGCAGCTCCCCCCCCGTGGGCGGCCGCTGGCTGGCTGCCGGGCGTTCACGCCCGGCGCTGGGCGGCGGCTGCTCCTGAGGGGCCGGTGCGTCGCTCTGGGGGGAGGTTGCGCTGGCACGCGGCCAGAGGTCGCTAGGACTGCGCTCCACCGGAGGAGGAGGAGGAGGAGGAGCGATGCGGGAGCGGGAACGGGAGGCGAGGGGGATGTGGATGGGGTTGGAGGGATGTGGAGGGGAAGGCTGTAATGGAGGCGTAGGCGGAGGCGAAGAGAGGGGGGCTTTCAACAAGTCATGGGGGTTGGTGCTGGTTCACGTCTGGTGTGCCCCAACACTTTGAGAAATTGCCACCTCGACGCTCACGTACGCTAGGGAAGAGGAACAGGAGAGGCCCTGCATGAGTCGTGCTCCACGCCCATGCTTCAATGTGTTTCGCCATCACGCCGTGCAAAGGTGAATCCGAAGTGGGCAGATGCAGAGAAGAGCAAGTTCAAGAAGCCCACCAGGCTCGAATGCATGATGCAGGCCAAGCGCCTCATTCTTTGTTCGGTTGCAGACTGATAAGCAGGATGCGCGAGCATTCGTTACACGAGGTCTTATCAAGCTTGCCCACGTGCGCAATTAGGTCCCGATCAGCGTGTTGGGAATGGACGAGTCGCTCCAGCGAAGTATAAATCGTTTGAATTGTGACCCGACGCCTTGAGAGACCGACTTGTATTTCAGGTATCTGGTTTGTCGTGTATTGTCGCGCAGTGCATTGCCGTATTATCTCTCCTTCCGATTGGTTCTCTCCATCCCGCCGCTTTCCCGCTGCTGTATCCGTACGGTATTGTCTTCTCTATCTCTCTGTCTATCGCTTTCTCCCTCTCTCTCTCTCCTTTTTCTTATGTTGTTTCTCTCTCTCTCTCTCGCTCTCTCTCTCTCCCTCTTTCTCTCTCTCTCTCTGTCCCTCTCCCTTTTGTTTGCGTGCGTGTGTTTTTTGTTGTTTTCTATATCTCTCTCTCTCTCGACCCCCCTCTAGGACGAATCCCGCTGCTACAGCAGACGGTCTCGATGGATGGAACACCAAAGGAGCCAAAACGCTCCCCGACGGCATTACGCGCCAGTTTCGCCTGAGCGTTCAGAGCCATGCAACGCACGGTGGTTGTCCATGAGCCTCTGCTGCACGTCCCGAACCCTTGCCCGCGGAAAGAGGAAGGCGAGCTTCCTACAGACCAGAGATTGTTCTCACGCGTGTCTATCTGGATGTACGCCTAGGAAGCGCCAGCTTACCGCAGCCGGGTATCCTGGATAGCGCTCTGGAATCATCCCACCAGTTTCAAGGCCGTACCGCACCCCACCATTAGTGACGTCAGTACCACACTTGCCCTTCAGTTCGAATGCGCGCGACATCACCGGAAATCGCTGGCTGCGGTCGCGTTTGACAGTCAGAAATGTGTTGATTATCTTGTGTTCGGCTTCCGTCTCAAGCTGCTTTTGCACGCTGGGTGTCCCCAGGACCCTTTGCGTGTGAGGCAAAGCTGCTATGACAACCACCGCCGCCACATTCGCATGGGAGTAGCCAACACCCCGCCCTTGTGGCGTACCAGCGGGCATCTGCCAGGCAACTCTTTCGACATTAAACTCCTCATGTGCGTCTGGAGAAAGCGGCAACACAGGCACAGTCGTCGATCACTCAGCTCCACTTTTGTTGGCGACAGCAATTGCACCGCCCCTACTGCTTGGGAGTTTCAGACTTCTCTCGACCAGACTGCCCCTCGTAGACAAAATGCCGGGTCAGAGCAGTCTGCCGAGCAAGGTTGCAGGATGGGTCAACGGTGGAGATCTCAACCTCCAGGTCGTTGATCTCCACTCGCACGGACAACCGCCCAAAACTCCCCTCTAGGTGAAGTTGGTTGGAATTCGCATCAACGTGGCGCTCGAGACCGAAGGACATGGAATCAACCTGGAAGCCACCGCTGATGCCAGGGTTCAAAAGGCCATAAAGCGCCTCCTCCGCATCGGACGCTTCCCAGGAGGCACAAAACTAATGGCGTTATTGGATCTCGCATTGGGCACTACGTTCTAGCGGCACCTGGCCATGCGATGGAGCTAGGCGCCATCACCCAAAAAAGAAAAGCGCGCCTGGGGCTCCGAAGGCAGGATCACCAGAAATAATTGCGAGCACCAAGCGAGTACCGAAACTTGAGGGCTCTCAAGCGTGGGGTCTGGGAGGCGATGCTCGTTCGACACTGCTTCGATCTTTTTCTGGGTGCTCGAACTTGTTTCTGGGATGTGGTCCTAACTTAGGTACGATGAGAACAATCGGAAACTGGAACATATACACTACCAGTGGCGGGCTGTTTTTCAATCCCAGGACTTTTTGAGGGTCGGGGACGACGCTGGGGTGGTGTGGTGTATAGTTCTTTCCCCGATGCCCCGAGGAAACAACGAAATTCATGCACCAGGGTCCCGTGTACACCAGGATCCGCTCTCCAGTGCAGATTTCAATGCAGGGCCAGAAAACAACGTCGGTGTATACTCCAGATTTCGTAATAAAGGGAGGGGGGTCTCATTTCGGGGGGGTCTCTTCCAGGCTATCTTGGAGGGCCTGGGGGGGTCTGGGGACGATGTTTTGGAGGGTTCTCCCACGGGGGGGGGGGGTCTGAAATGGCTTGTCTTGGAGGGTCCAGACCCCCTCCCTTTTATTACGAAATCTGGAGTAGAGTTCCATTCCCTGAACAACACGACGCAAGCCCTCTCAGAGGGGCGGCCCCGTCGGCAGGGCGTGGACGAAAACCCCTCGCCCAGCTCGGCGGGACGCGGCCAGGGCTCGCACCCCCACGCACGCACGGTGACCGAAGGCGCGCACGCCTCTCTCGGCGGCAAATTCCCCCGCCCCCGGCCTCGTCACCCGCGTGCTCCCCGCGGGCCTCGCGGCGGAGAGCCTCTTTCAGGAGGAAGAGAAACACACAGACACAATTAATCCTCGATTCCCCAGAAAATATGGGAAATGGGGGGGAAGACAGAAACCCAGAAAATATGGGAAAATATTAGGAATATTTCCCAACCATCCTGTGGTGTTGGGTCCTCGTTTTGACGAGACGGTGGCCCGCGTCTCCTCTCCTCTCCTCCTCCTCCTCCTCCTCCTCCTCCTCCTCTTCCTCCTCCTCCTCCCCTCCTCCTCCTCCTCCATCCTCCTCCTCCTCCTCCTCCTCCCCTCTTCCTCCCTCCTCCTTCCTCCTCCTCCTCCTCCTCTCCTCTCCTCCTCCTCCTCCTCCCTCCTCCCTCCTCTATTTCGGCACACCCCTCACACTTCGTGGTCCCCATAGGGAGCTCCAGCG